AAGATCACCATCGGCTTCAACCCTCAGTTGCACTCTAAGTAAGTTAGTACTTTGACTTGAAATTGAAGAATTGGCTTTCTACTAGTAGAAATCTCAGATGTCTGGGTCATCTGACAATCCACTTCCATCACAGTTCATCACTTAACACAAATTAAACAATAAGCATTAATATTTCAACTAAGTATTGTGCATCTGTGCAGTCTGTCATTATCATGATAATGATGATCCTAAAAAAGAAATTTTAGTTGCTAGTATAGATGGTAAATGGTAACAGATATTTAAATTCATGATGATGGTGACAAACACTTTACAGATTCTCGTCCGTAATCATTAGCAGACCCGTGCGCCGCGCCGCTGCCGAACTCGTCGAAATTTTTGGGAGCACCCCATCGCCCTCGATGGTAAAAATACAAACTGATTTTAGCCTGCGCCGATAGAAAAAGTTTTGGAATAGAAAAGTCATAAGAAATTAGAAAAGCAGGAAGTTCTATTGTATTTAGGTCATACCAAAAGTACAGAGATGGGCGAGTGCACAGATTCTTGAGTACGAGTGCCAATACTGGGCGTCGAGTATGAGGACGAGTATTTTCTAAAAAGTACTCGAGTACTTTTTAGAAAATAGTCGAGTACGAAAATTTTTAAAAGCAGACAATAATCATGAAAAAAGTTATTTTAATTATAGGTTATTGTATGTTCAAAAATTTCAAGTACTCGGAAACACTCGAGTACATTTTTAAGTAAGTTACTCGTAAAACGAAGTCCCGAATACGAGTACTGAAAATTTTGTACTCGAGTATACTCGTACTCGTTCATCTCTGCAAAAGTACTAGCATTTGCAGATAAAACGTCACAGAATAGAGTTAATCAAGATTTTACTTTAGCAAGCGATGCTAAGTCAATTGGCCGCAGGACAATTCGTCACACGGTTAATTCGTTGCGGGTCATTTCGTTGCAGTCAATTCGTCGCGAACTATTCGTCGCATAATTTTCTAATGGAAAAGGAAAGGATACTACTAATCGATGCACTAATCGGTACGTTATATTTCGCTGATACTTCATTAATAGTCATTTTATCATCTTTACTTGATTTAATAACTTCGCCAATGTCTACGTTTGAATAAGTTTGAACTCTTTCTCTTACATAATTACGAACCATTTCAATGCAGACTAATCTGAGATAAATTAATACGCGCAAAATTTAATACACAAAATGCTGAGCTAGACTACTATTCTGTTGCTTAATGAGATGAGATGAATATGGCACTGTTCCTTGCGGTGGATTTACTGTACAAATGATATAAAAGTTAAAAATACGGTTTATTTTAACGAGTGTTCTTGATTCACCCCACTCAGAGCTATATGTTTTCTTGAATCACCCCAAACGCAGCGAATCAAGAATAGCTGTGGGGCGAACCAGTAAAACCACTGGAAGTCCGATACTTTGAAGCATTTTAAGCCGATTTTTCACAAGTGTATCAATGAGAGTCTTGTCTATATGACTGCCAACGCCCGCAAAAAGATCTCTAAGATTAAAAAAGGTATTCAACAAATACTGGCATGATCGCGAAATTATTCTTGATTCGCCCCACACCATTCTACTCATACTCCCTGAACACTACATTCCCTGTAACATGTCTATATAGCTTATAATTAAATTGTGTTTCGTAAAGAAAGTTCATAGGAGTTATCAAGAAGAAAACATTTTTACCGCTATAAGCTAGATCTCGCTTAAATAAAGCTAATATTCCAATACACGAAAACTGCCATTGTAGAACACATAAATATAAGTTTTTAATTGTTTGGACAAAAAAAACAAGTCAGAGATCGGTGTCATATGAGTTACAAACTGCCTAGCGTCCCGCTTAACATTTATTCTAAAAACCCTTAATCTCCCAGTAACTCAATCTGGCATAACACTCACAGTAACTAAAACAAAAAAATGAAACGAAATTAATAATTGCCATGTCTGAAAATACCACTAATGGTATTAACCTAAATAAAATTGATTCTAAATCTAAAATTAAAATTAAAATGCTAAAAACATAAAATCGAAATGAAATAGGGATTAAACTAACGTTGTAGCAATGAAAGCCATATTCGAATACACTAGATTCTTTAGATTAAGAAACTTTTACTATGCAGATGTACCAGGAACAATATCTGTAGCAGAAGGTTCAAATCGTGATTGTCGGTATTTAGTTTTATTAGAAAACGTACCAAAGAGTGTTCTGCAGGCGACTTTGAAAGAAACTAATGAAGCTTAGATATCCATTTTCTTTATGTTTTTTTTCTTTTTCTATACATTTTATAAATGAACTTAGATGGTCCTTATCGTAGAGCCGTGAACTTGATTTCAGATGAAAGAATCCATCAAACTCTATATATTTCAACGAAGAAAAATTATGCCGGGCCTCACGATCTTTAGAAAAAGATTTCTGAAAAATCGAGCTTTCGAGAAATCCTGACGATCTTGAAGCTCCTTCCTCAAGTTTTTCAAGCACTCTATTGGATACTCCGTTCAATAATCTGCAACGTGAGATATTAGCCAAGTTTCTATGATGCTGGACAACCCAGTTCTGCTGCCAGCTTATTGTCCAATATATCGAACATTTATCATTCTTAAAAAATCAAATACAAACATACCGATTGGTACTAGAATACCAAAAACACTAATGCTCTGTATATTAGTGCAAGTGAATATGATTTTGGTAGAAGATAAAAACCGAGGCCAAGAAAAAATTGAGAGTACAGAACCAAATGAAACGATTGCCAAAACCAGCTAATGGTCAATAGAAATGTAACGTAGTTCTACTAACCCATGAGAATTTTATCGGTCAATAGCTGGAGCTATACTGCGATAGTGTGTTAAAGGAGAGGGTGATTTCTGTAGGAGTTTCTCATTTATTGAATGAGTTTTTGTTGGAAACAGATAAAACCATGCAGCTTTTACCACTGGAAAGAGAACACTTTTTGCTATGAAATGATGGGAAAAGTCAAGCCGAACCACCCCCGCAGTGGTGTACCTCATCCATCTTTCAACAAGATGATCGCTAAGCTATATAGATTTAGTAAATTTCAAATATAAATTTGATCGCTCGATAGCTTAGACAGCGACCTACAAATCTATGACAAAATCTCAGACTACTTTCATTCTTTCATGGTTAATAGACAAAAAATCTAGTTTTTCGAAAAATCGTGTTCTGAAATTCAGTCAACTCGGTGAAGGAAATAAAAGTTTGCCACGTTGTTCAGAAGGGATGATAGCCTATGTCTGACGTGTCTTTGAGAGTGTCAGCCTCAACCCGAATCAGATCGGCATTCTTTCGGACATTCGATGTAGCTCCTGAATCATATGAACTAGAGATATGGGACTTTCATAGACTTGTAGGTCGCTATCTAAGCTACCGAACGATCAAATTTATATTTGAAATCCATTGAATCTATATGGCTTTAACTTGTTGAAAGATGGATGAGGTACACCACTGCGGGGGTGGTTCGGCTTGACTTTTCCCATCATTTCATAGCAAAACGTGTTCTCTTTCCAGTGGTAAAAGCTGCATGGTTTTATCTGTTTCCAACAAAAACTTATTCAGTAAATGAGAAACTCCGCGGTATTTTGAAACCGATAGTAGTTCGTGGACGATCTTATACCAAAGAAGTGTGATGAGAGCAACTATATATTTTTCATTTGATAAAATCGTTGTGGCTTTTAAAGAAACAGCAAGGATCTTTTTGTTTTAGAGTGACGATAAGAATTCCTTCTTTTATGTTTTCAAAATCCTCTCTTAGGCTTAGAAGAGTTTTCTTCATTTTAGTTATCATTTTCACTATGATGGCGCGAAAAAGAAGATTGAAATTTTTTGATTAAAATAAATTTGAAAAAAATTATTCAAGTGATTGTTATTATTGTTGTTCGTTTGACATTTCCATTACTGCTTTTCGACACGCATGAAATTCTGCTAGTTTTGTATTTTTTCTCAGTACCTTCAATTCAATTCGTACCAATATAATTTCTGAAAAATGTCTCTTTTAAGTGTTCTCAGCTTAATGTCTCATATGAGAACAAAGAAAGAAAAAAGAAACAAACCGAAGTTAACAACACCAAAATCGGAGATCAAGATCGCAGCATGGAACGTCAGAACCGGTCACAATATCGGACAAAAAGAGATCATCGCTAAGGAGCTGTTAAACCACAAAATATCGATTGCGGCGTTATCCGAACTCAGACTCACGGGCGCCGGGACAACGACCGTTGAACCACCGATGACCGATGCGAAGATGACGCTATTCTACTCCGGCGGCGAGAAACGAGAAGCGGGCGTTGGATTCATGGTGGACAAGCGAGCAACCAGCAGCATCGTCGCCTTTCAGCCAATTTCGGACCGCCTCGCCATACTCACGGTTGCCAGCACCATCAAGAACCATGTCATCTCGGTGTATGCTCCAACGGAAACAAGCCAGGACCAAGCCAAAGACGGTTTCTACGATCATCTACAACATGCGCTGGACTCAATCCCACGAACCGAAGTGATCATGCTGGCTGGGGACTTCAATGCACACATCGGAACAGACAGAATCGGCTGGGAAGGAACGATGGAAAAATTCGGCCACTGAGAGATCAACGATAATGGCCTATGCTTGTTGTCATTTGCAGCAGCGAACGATCTTATTGTCGGCAACAGCTGATTCCAACACTCAACGAAGCACCAGCTTACTTGGCGAAATCCATTTTGAAAAGATTCGGCTGTCATCGACTACATATTAATCAACACCAGATTTCGATCGTCTCTAAAAAATGTGCGAGCAATGAGGAGACTAGACTGTGGATCTGGTCACTATCTCGTTCGGGCAAAGGTGCAGCTTCGATTACAGCGATCAAAGAGAAAGGCGTCAATAACAGCCAAACCAAATTGGGTGTGCCTTCGACTCCCAGCTGCAAAGCAGGAATTCCAGATCGCGCTTTCCAACAGATTTGCGATGCTCGAACCATCTAAAGACATTGATACAGAAGAAAAGCAAATATCAGCGGCCATCATCGAATGTGCAATTCCGTTGTGTCCTTCAATTCGGCGCCGGACACAGCATTGGATATCAGACGAGTGCCTGGATCTGGTGGAAAAGCGGAAGAAAGCCAAACATGCCGATTTCGAAGAATATCGTCGGTTGAACAAGGAAGTCAGAAAGAAGCTAAAAGAAGAGCGAGAAGCCTACTGGAATCAAGTGGCAGCAGAAATGGAGGAAGCCGCGAATATCGGACGTTATACCAAACCATTCGACGGCTGGGTGGAAAGACCAAATCCACGAATGACAACATCAAGAAGGCGGACGATACTTTTGTGAAGTCATCCGAGGAGCGCCTGAAACGGTGGAAAGAGTTTTTCCAACAATTATACAATCACGATCTACCTCAGGGACCGCTACCGGAACCACCACCAATTGAGCTACCAGCAAACCCATTTCCCAATGACGAACTAACGGCTGCCGAAGTCAAAAGCGCCATCAAATCGCTAAAGAATGGGAAGGCACCAGGAATAGATCAAACTACGGCAGAGGTTATAAAAGCAGGTGGAGAAGTTTTGCTGCAGCGCCTCCACGTCCTCCTGGTGCAGATATGGCGATCGGAGAGCACCCCAATGGCCTGGAAGAAAGCCATTATCATTCCGATATTGAAGAAAGGCGATAATCGTGAATGCAAGAACTATCGTGATATTAGCCTGCTTTCCATAATCGGCAAAGTGTTTATGAAGATCGTACAGACGAGGCTACAGAAGTATCGGGAGCAGACCAGCCGGGAAGAGCAAGCAGGGTTTAGACCACATCGGGGATGCGTCGACCAAATTTTTACCATTCGTCAATTGATGAAGGAACGGATCCTTTGCGGAAAACGAACGGTCATCGATTTCAAATCAGCGTTCGACTGCATTCACTGGCCGGCCTTGTGGATAGCACTGGAGAAAGAACATGTGCCGCAGAAGATCGTTAACCTGATTCGAACGTCATACAATGGGCCAACAAGCAGCGTTCGGATCCGAGGCGAACTGTCTGAGGAATTTCCCATTCAAACCGGAGTTCACCAAGGCGACGTTGCCTCACCGCTGCTGTTCAACATTGTGATCGACGCCATAATGAGGAAAGCGTTGGTAGACAAGGAGTACAATATGGCGAAAACAACTTTGTCACTGATCTGATGTTCGCGGACGACAGCGCCATTTTTGCCGAAACGGATGCCGAGGCCACCGACATCCTCTACGACATTGCTCGCATTGCGCAGTCGTATGGTTTGAAGATAAATGCAGATAAGACCAAAGTTATGGCTACGGATGGGTCGCAAGCTAACGTCCACCTCAACGGAGTTCAGATCGAACAGGTGCAGGAGTTCAAATACCTGGGATCGTTGGTTCAAGAAAAGAAAATAGCATCCGGTGCTGAGGTTCGGAACAGAGTTGGTCAAGCAACAGCAACATTTGCGTCGCTCAAATGGTGTCTTTGGAAGAAGGCAAACGTCTCCCTGAAGACCAAAATCCGCCTTTTTCGAACACTCATCATGCCGATTGTCCTGCATGGGTGAGAGACGTGGACGCTGCTCAAATCGGATACGAGTAAACTTGAGGTGTTCCAAATGCGTTGTCTACGGCAAATCGTGGGCATCTCAATTCGGGATCGGGTACGTAACGACACAATCCGAGCGAGATGTGATAACCAACCAATAACTGAGGACCAAATACAGAAGCGACGATCGCGCTGGTTCGGACATGTATGCAGGATGAACATCAATCGCCTACCTCACAAACTGCTATGGCGAGAACGGCCAGCAGACTGGAGGATGCAACGGACGGCACCGAAGAAAACGTGGATCAAACATATTGACGAAGATCTAAAGCCCCAACGGATTTCCACGGGAGAGGCCAGCGACATCGCCACAGATCGCCGAAGATGGAAGCAAATGGTGAATGACTCGAGTCAACCAGCGGTACCGACAGCAGCGTATTAGTTACGGGGAAGACCTGCTTATCAAGCGCCAGCTACGGAATAAAGAAGAAGAAGAAAGAAGAGATGAGAGTAAGCGAATAAAATCATGAAATTTATTATATATTTGGAGTTAAGATTCGGACTTTATGGTAAACTTCGACGTTTCGCAAGAAAATAGATTTTATTTTAAATACACGGAAAAACATTTCACGAGCAGTTATAACGAAAATTGTGATGAATTATATTAAAGTGAATTCTTTTTAAACATTTTCAATTGTACCTAAAACGTTGAACTGAGTTGGACCAAACTGGACTATCTGTGATGTTCTCGGAAAGAAATTTAGATTTTGGATAGTCTTTTTGCACTTGTTTCATTTATATTAAAAAGGTTTAATCACTTTAGACTTTAGAAACAATTCTGTTCATCGCTCGATTTTATCTACACTCTAAAAAATAGTCGTAGATTAATAAACTATCAAAAAGGGTTTATTGAGACCAATTAACCTTTTAAAAAACGCTTTTCGGTTTTTTATTTTCAAAAAATTAAAAAGCGTTCGTGACAGATGCAAAATGAAAAACGAGTGATTTTTTAGCTCCCTTTTCAGTTTTTTGTCGAGTCTAAAATACACGGTAAAAAACTCTTCAGTTTTTTAGAGTCTACAAAAAACTGAAGAAGTTTTTAGCGGGTATTTTAGACTCGACAAAAACTGAAAAAGTTTTTTTATTTTTGATAAAAAACCACCCGTTTTTCATTTTGCATCTATCACGAACGTTTTTTAGTGTTCTGGAAATAAAAAACCGAAAAGCTTTTTTTAAAAGGTTAATTGGCCTCAATAAATCCTTTTTGATAGTTTATTGATCTACGACTATTTTTTTAGAGTGTGGTGCCGTATCATCTGTTCCACACAATTACTTTCCTCTCAAAATTTGAGAAGTGGAACTAAAAGTTTTTAGCACCAGTTGGTTCTTAGAATAAGTTTTCACTTTTTTACCATCACAATTTAGGCGGTATTTACAAGAAATATTCGTTAAGTACTTATTCTGCTATCTGATTGATGGAACGGGTATTCTCGAAAGTACCCATTTGGTTATTTACCTGCATTTCTATAAGAGTTGAAAAACCTCTTAATACTTCGAAAATTTCTTAGTTTTAACTTCACTTAGATCCGACAGAATCCAAACTGAAATTTACTTCGCTTATACGCCGTTAAGGAACATGTTGATTATTTTTCATGATTTTTTTTAATGATCATCATCACTTTATAAAAAATCGCCGTTCTCATATTAGTGTTATACTATAATATTATTCTTTGTTTACTTTCATTTATTTTTTAAGAGGTGGAATTGAGAAAAGATGATTCATCGAATGGTTGTATAAAGAAATTAGTAATAGCTTAGCTTTCTATACTATATGTACTAGTAAATATGAACAAATTAGTAGATTTTGTGACATTGGTGTATATCGTTGTATACAAAATGTATCATATCCTAATATGCTTTTATTCAGTACACCGTACAAATGTGGTTAGTAGATAACTTTAAGTAGAATCAATTTTTTCTTGTACATCCTTCGATCCTTCTGTCTAAGGTATATTTATTCATAGTTATACTTTCTTATTTGAATAAACAGGAAATCTTACGCTATAGTCCATGAAAAAAAATCAATACAATCCCATTGGAGGATTTCTACACAAGGCCTGGTTTTCCAAAGAACTCCTCGGAAAATCTGTTTCAGAAAGACTCTTTTGAAAACTTTTAGTTATTGAAACATGTCCCCAAGTCTCTTCTTTCGAATGGTGAAAATCCGAGTTCTCTAGCTCTTTTCTATCAAAAGTTATTCAAAATACAGTCATATACCATTCTTTTCCTGGATGGACAATAGGATAGCTTCAACCTCCGCATTATGTATTATACATTGTATACTATGTATTACAATAGTATTTCCACTAGTGGATCCCATTACGGGCTGCATTTGCTTTATGACATCACTCGAATACCCCGGATACATTCTTCACGAGAATTTGACTTGTCTACTCCAATTTTGAGAATTATATTCTCAGTTCCTCTCACACAAGTGAAATTCTCATGTAACAGCCAACGCTTATTGCGGAAATAGCCGGTCTTTCTTCTTTCATAACTAAAGTTCTCGTGGGAGAAAATAAAATTCCTGCTGGAGTTGCCAAAATTCATGAAATAGTAAGATTTCCGTGAAGAGCGACGTTCTGTTTTGTTTTATTATTAAAGTTTTGTCGTAGTACGTTAAAATTCTCGTTCAAGCAAGTGAAATTCCTGTGGGAATGTCGAAGATTCTCGTGGAGATGGACGTTCTGTCTTCTTTTATAACTGAAATTCTAGTGTAGTAGAGTACAATGCTTTTAAGGAAGTGAAATTCTTGTGGAGAGACGCACTTCCGGAATTTGGAGAAATTTTTCTTATTGTGATTTGTGAATTTTACTTGGCTTTTAGTCACGGAGTAGCATTCTCACCATGACAGAAAAAGTCTTCTGAAAAGAATAAAATTTCGGAATTCATGGAACTCGCACACTGCTGGAAAAGGCAAGGTATCTTTTCTTTTTGAAACAGCCCACATGAACATAGAAACATTTTTGAAGTAGACAAATAATGTCTGCGAAATACAAACAGAACATGTGCCGACGGTTTAAAGTTGACAAACTAATACACAATAATAGGTTGAACTGCACTCACAGAGTTTAATTTTAAATAATGAGACGAAATTGACTTTTGGGGTCCTACTGTTCTTTGTTACTACCAGATCCCGTTTTTATACTTTCAGAAATGATTGTATCTGGCATGGATTTGGTTTTATACGCCTGGATCCCGGATCCCCCTTTTCCCCCCTTGCAAAACATGCTTTCCTAACGAGAATTGACTTACGGTTTTCGGGAATTGAAAGCGGACAGTTTAACTTATATTGCGTAACCATATATTTAGATGACCTATAATACTCTTTCGAGAAGGAAAAGAAAGAAAAATTACTCATACTTATTACATTCTATTGTCATGCTAAGAGTGCAAGGTATTTTCTTCTTCCTCTTTTCTCTTTTCTCATTTGGTTTCGCTCCGGGAGATGTATCTTGGTAAAAATAAGTTGGAAAATTCCAAAAAGATGAATAGGTGCATATATATACGTAACGATGACTTTTGTATTATTATTAACCATTTCACAATTGAAAGGTAAGATGTACAAGATCATTTTGTCATTGTGGAAAATAAAATTTGGACTATTACAAATAGAAATTTGCGAAATGGCAGCAGCGGCATGTATGACTAATTTAAAACCAACACTGTCAAGTATTGTTGGACCAGAAGTGAAATTATTTTTAATTGATTTTGTTATTAACAATGAAACAGTTGATAAAAATGTCAAACATGATTGCGAGTAAATAAAGTTAAATGTTTACCACCTCAAACACCTTTAATGCTTATCATTTTTAGAAAACTTCACGAACAGTTAATTAATGGGTTTCATGCGCCTGAAGTGCAGTTAGGACAAAGTAGGTAGATTTTGACCACACATCGATCTTCTGAGCAAATTTGATACGTTGTTTATATTTTAGCTCTTAAATTGCCGAACAATAGTATAACAGCTTTAATTCACTCGGAAATGGAAAAATGTACATGGACAATTGAAATCATGTGTAATTCATTGATACCGTCTGCAAAATCGTACAATGAATATTTTGAAAATAAAAAAATTATTGTAAGTTACACACATCACAACACATTCGTGGATGTTTGAGTGTGTCCTTATGCTCTAGAAAGACATACACAATATGGTGTTCGTTTGTATTGATCGGGTTGATAAAGATAATTGTACATTATTCAAAACATATTTTGCTGGGAAGAGTTTTCAATTACCATTGCGATCTCAACAAAATAACGAATGGTTATATCTTGAATTGTACCTTAATAGTAAGTCTACTCATACCTTGATCGACTCATTCTATTCACTGTTCTCTTTATAATTTGCAGGTAAACCACCGAAATCTTATAGTGTTGAACATTACGTAAGATAATGACTAAAGAGAGCTAGAGAGGTTAGGCTATCACTTTTTTGGGGGAAACGTTTACTCTAGCTTCCTATCAGAGCTCTGTATGGACTCAAATTTTTGAGTCCAGTCCAGTCCATGGACTAAAAAAGTCTAGTCCAGTCCAGTCCGAGTCCATGAAATCCAAAAAATCTGAGTCCAGTCCAGTCCACATGGACTGGACTGGACTATGGACTCAGCCCAGTCCATACGGAGCTCTGCTTCCTATATATGAACAGCAGGGAAACTCAGATTTCCAGCCGATGCATCGTATCAACCCTTCAAAGAATTAATAGGCATGTTTATCCGTCTCATAACGACGACCTCTATGTTCACAATATCTAGGATATGGCTTGAACTATTCTTGCTCGAACTATGCAGCATCCGACCGCTCTAGCTGCTAGTGTTCGGCGGGGGTAAAATCTATATATGACGGTCTCAACCTCAAAATGACTCTAAACATAGGTTATCAGCGACGTTGGATCACCCAGCAATGCGTATTTTCATATCAAATTCATTCGAGACTCACAGTTCAAGTATTACAAAACATCATAATTTTTCCTCTTTTACTTTGTGCAATAAAGACCATGTAGAAGTCTTAAAATTAGCCCAGACTACTGTTTGTTTAAAGTCCTCAGGCGATGTACCTCATCAGTATTTTGAAAAGTTACTTTTTGTTCTGTGAATTTCTCTAGCGCCCTCTATATTTATCTAATGGAGATTGTAGTCCAGACTGTCCTCTATCGAACTACGTAAGTCTCAGGTCGCTAGCTACCAAGGTTCGAGAGGAGGATCGATGTAGCCACAAGCTACTTGTCTCCTTTATTTCAAGTTGGGAACCTTGAATATAATATATATATATATAACATATGCTTCGTGGCAATGTTAGTTTTCAGAAACAAAATCCTGTTTCTAAGTTATTCAAAAAATGACCACTATCATTATAATGTTTTAGGGATACTAGTAGATTTTATGTAAAAATTTCATATTCGAGATCTTTAGATCTGCACTACTTAACTTAAAATCAGTCGACGAATGTACTTTCTAGACTGATGTTTCTCCATTATTATTGAATGCAAATAGTATCAGTTCGGGCATTATATTTAATAATTACTACAGTTATTTTATCAAGCAAGTATGAAGTAAGTATTATTTAGTGACATAGTATTATTAGCATAACAGTCACTGTTTTACAACTGTTTGTTTAGCAAATAATATCATTTTAAGAGTAACATTTAAAGAAAAAATAACTAAAGAAGAATTGCCTTCACAAGTTAAAATACAATTGTATACGTTGATTGAAGAGTTTTATTTAAATTCGCACCGACTTCCGATTGATTGTAATGGCAATGTAGTTAGTCCAGATAAAACAGATTTACAACCACTTACGTCAAATAAATTAGATTTGAAATTTGATAAAATTGATGGACAAACAGCTATTTATGCTGCAGCAAGTATGGCCTCGACAACTGGTATTAGTGATTTTGGAAAAATAGTATGTTTATCCGCCGCTCTTTGTTCTAATTATTGTTGCATCGAACAAAAACTGCTTGTTTGATTAGGTTAGAGAAGTTCGTATATGGCATGGTCACATCCCAATAGATCAAATTAGAAGTATTTCCTTGCTCGATGATGTGCGCCAGTGGAATGAATTATATACAAAAGAAAGGTAGTGTATCATATTATCAATACACGTTCCAGGAAGAATGTGCGGCCGAAGCTTTTTGTCTTGACCCCATCCTTCCATAAAATTTTCATGGTATGCAGTGCCCATCGTCAGGATGTTTTTCCAGAAGTTGGGCCTTGCAGCTAAACCAGGAAACAAAGATAGAATCGTCTCACTAAAAATAGTAGTTCTGAAAGACTGATACTTTTTCTAATTTGTACTTAAGTATAAGGTCGACATTTATACACAGTATAGCCAGTAACATGTGAGTGAGCACTTGTAAAGACTATTTAAATATATACGTAAATCTACGGCCTTCATACGAATGTGCCATCATAACTCGCAGTTTCCTTTTGCACAATTTAGTGCAATGCAATTCTCACGTAGTTGGAGAAGTGCAGCGTATGAAATGTCGGTAGATCGAATCTGGTAGAAGAACTTCAAAAATTGTTCTAATCGAAACTCTTCTATAAACAGTATTTCTCTAACTAACAGAAGTCAAAGAGATATGAATTTTAAAGTTCTGCTAGAAATACATTTATACCAGTTCGCCAATGGAAGTATTGAACGTTAAAAATACAAGGTTCTGTAAATACTTGAAAAAAGTTGGATCAGATGTGGGTCGAAAACGACTTTGATGGACCTAGACCGAAAAGTTGTCAGGCTGGAACGAAGCAATCGGAAAAACCTTGACTGGCGCGGATTTCCTACGGATTTAAAGCAGGAAACGCTAGAGCACGGTTGTACAGAAATGTTGTACTATTGCTTCCATCTAAAGCTTTGTTCCGCATCTGAAAAGTTTTGTAATGTCCCAAATATACGATGGTTGATCCTGCTTATTTTAGACACTGCTAAATCTATAGTAATTATTTACTTGTTGTAGTAGTGAAAATAATAATGACCAAAAACAAATGTTTTTTGTCAACGAACAAGATAATCGAAGTGAATGTTGTCTATTACTCGACAACGGCAATTCTGAAACAACTAGTCCACTGACAGATGATGAAGGTAACGTTCATTACCAAACACTGTGTCAATAATTCATGTTCCCTGTCCTTAACAATTAGGTGTGAGCACAATCAAAAAGACACAATATGATTGTTATTTCAAATACATAAATGACCCCAAAAATTGGATTCTAAATGATGGACAACGACGGATAACAAAAATATTATACTCACCTGTTTACTACGTGTTAGCAGCTTCGTCGTGTCACTTCGGAGAGCCAGGTCCGGCTGTGTTTGATGAAAATCACGTTGATATCAAAGGAATCATTACTGATCCCAATAAACGGGGAAGAATCAAATTAGCGTATGTTACTGAAGGAAATAAAAGGTAATGAAACTGATCTCTGAAATCTTATTAGTAGTATGTCGTAGGTGATGAAAACCTCTTTTGGCACAAAAATACATGTGGTAAGAGGTCATCCACCTATGACGTCCAGGAAAAAAGGGCGCTACTTTATTATAATGCAAAATCTTGGCGTCATGTCTAGCAACATCTGCCCTAAGAAAATGGCAAATATCGATCAGTTCTCCAAGATGGATGACAGTCAAATAAAGCTATAGGCACGAAGTGGCTTACGAGGGAACATTTCCAGCTGTCCAACCCTGATTTCTTTCATACATACATCAGTCGATAGCCTATATTGAGATAGTAAAAAGCCTAAAAGGATTTATCCCCATGGCTCTTGAAGATCCGTTTTTTTGGAAAACTGATTTTCCAGAAACTCTTACAAAAAACCAAAACGTTTCTTAATAAGGCATGATTGTAGTCCGAAAATTTCTGATTAAAATGAGACATCTCCCAGCTCTACCGACCTTTCTTTGCAAAGTTAAAGAATTTACAAGAAAAGCCCTGAATGTTGATTGTCAACTCAAAGCTAGAGAAATAAGACGAAATCAATTTAGGGCTTTTCTTGCAAGTTCTATAACTTTGCAAAGAAACGTCTGTAGAGCTGGGAGATGTCTCATTTTAATCAGAAATTTTCGGACTACAATCATGCTTTATTAAGAAACGTTTTGGTTATTTTTTTAGAGTTTCTGGAAAATCAGTTTTCCAGAAAACCGGAACTTCAAGAGCCATGGGGATAAATTCTTTAGACTTTTTACTATCTCGATATAGACTATCGACTGATGTATGTCTGAAAGAAATCGGGGCTGGACAGCTGGGAATGTTCCCTCTTTAGACAAAACTATAGTACAATTCATACGCGTTGCACAGTTGTTCGATAAGAACTTCAGTATAAGATTCGCGCGTGCCAATCAGAAAATAATGAATATCCCACAATATGAAAAAAAGGCACGCTAGAGTTTCCACTTTTCCAGATTTTTCCTTTTCCCTTTTGCTCAAACTAATGCGATTGAACGATAATCCTGGCTGGTAAATGGGAAGTGTCGACAACTAGGCAATGCTTAGACGTAGGGGCGACCAACTGTTTTGATCACAGTCATGAGAAAGAAAAAAGTTTTCAATCAAGATCACGGTATGATCACATTGGACTCTATTGATGGAGTAGAACAGAACAATGAATTACTACAGGAAGAAAAAAAAATTTTTTAAGCTAACTTTTCTGCTTTGAACGGCGGATATTTGTGATGGATGTCATCTTTACCGACTTGTAGTCTGCTGCATGTGGCATCACTTGCTAAAAGAAAATATTATTTATGTTTAGAGTTGTATTATGTTCAGCCAAAATGGTCCACTTTGGTCGCTATTTATTTCGGACGTTCTATTTTGTTGATGAACAAAATAGCAACGGAGAAATTATACGAGTACGCATACAAAAGAGAGAAACATTTTCTTCAAGTATCTAAACGACTTCTTCTAATTTTAGTATTTATTTTCAGCTGAATATCCCTATATTTTGTCCGTTCTATCACAAATGAATTTATCCGATGATCAAAAACGAATTGAATATCTTCGAGCGTGTAATATCTTTCAACGTATCCTTATTACCCATCAACTGACTGATAGCGTAAAAATAATCATGTATGACGATGATAATAACGAAAAACAAGGTTAATTTTATAATCATTCAATATTAACAATCTAGCTTATTTGTCTGTTGTCTTTAAAGGTGAAAGAAAACGTGAAACGATCGATTCAACATTATTTCCAGCTTATAGTGAAGGTATAACAATGTGGGAACAAATTAGAGCGGATATTATTCATTGGAACCGAGAATTCGATGCAGAAACAGATTTCGCAACAATCAAACCTATTATTAACGAAAAAAAGAAGGAGATACCTATTCAACGCTATTTTATAGCTAATACACCAGAAAATAAACGAATTCAAGATTTTAGATAATAAGATAAATAACTCCTGGCCCAGGAGAGATGAACACTTTTTCTTTTTACCAAAATGTAGTCTTGATTCTTTTCTATGTACGATATAAATTTAGAGTGGTAGCTAGTAAGTGCTACTGGAAGATAGCTATTTTACGATCGGAGTGTCTGGAAATGAGGTTCCGTAGCAGGGCAAGGGCCAGGAACTAAGCGTCGCTCTTTCTACTATAGAATCTGCATTCAATGTGGATCATAATTAGGAAAAGATTATCATAGAAACCTATGGTTCCGAAAAACGTAGGTGAAACTTTTGGTAGAAAGATTACACACTCATCTCTGATCTTCACCATGTCATTTATTTTGTGCCCTTTTCAGTTCCCTTGTATTTTTCCAGCAAAACTAAGGATATATTTGAGATCAGCAAACAAAACTCAGTCGAATAGCATACTTAACATTTAGTTTTCGAACAAAAAAATTTCATAGAAAATTTTCTCACTATGTTAATAGTGGCCGTATAATCAAGTAGAACTAACGAGTTAGCAACGTTTGTTTTTCTGCAGGCTTGTGAACTGATATCCCAGTTTCTCTAGCCATATTCGCCTGAGAAATGAAGTGTAAAATCTCTTTTGTTTAGTCACTCATTATTGATGCTCTCTAATTATTTCTCTGATAAGTTTTTGTTCCTTCACGATCCAGGGTTTCCCGATGAATACTAGACTAACATATCGGGAACTTCAGTTTGAAACTATATCCCTTTGGTAAATTGCAAAAGAACGAAAAGACGGTGATATTTCTTTGATATTTCGATTGTGCTTGTATTCTCGGCTGACCGCAAAACAAGACGCAAAACGGTGAATGCTTAGTTGCGTTTTTCAATCGTTAAAAACGGAATAACAACGAGAATGGAAAATGGAAACAATGAGAATGGAAAATGGAACAAACGTTATGAAACGCGTTTTTTTGCCGTTTTTTTAGTGAATTTTTTATGCCTGGGGTATTACAACTGACATGAATAGGTCCCCATTCTAGGGCATTTGTGGAGATGATTATAACGTCAAGAAAAGCCATCGGAAACTGTCGGAAGACGTCTCATTGTGAACAGAACACTTTTCTCTCCGGCCTATGTATCGGGATAACTCCGAAAGGCACTGAAACGGTGAGCGAAAGGTGGAGTCCGCATCAGACATGAACTCTGCCACTATCATTCGGACCCTTCAAATATACTTTATACACGACAAAACCTACTCAAAAACAAGCAACGATTCAGCACCCACGTGTAACTGTAAAATCAAAATTTCTCCGGAACTATTCAACATTAAGCGTAGTACAATACATCATTCGATGCGCCATGAAAATTTCTACAAGATGTTTTAATAGGAAGGTTAACCAAGCCTGACAGCAGGTTTTATGAGCTTAATACTAGACTTTTTCATTGATCACCGCTATGCCAGTGGAACCCTTGTTCGTTTTTTCGTATGAAACGAAAGACGATCACTACTCATTCATACATCATTCGATGCACCGTGAACAGCTCGTGATCAGCTAGAAAAATTTGAAAAAAGATTTGAACAGCTGATAGAATTTGAAACCATCACCTGTTCGTTTGCTGTGGGGTTGCGCAGCATTCGAAAGCCGACACCTGAGATCATCTTTCCGTAAGCAGAAACGTTTTGAAAAAATCTGCGGTGCTGTATAAGAAAGCTCTCAAAACCAGGCTCTCTGGAAGAAATTCTCAGAAACAAATCCAGAGTTCAATCTAGAAATTCGTTGCAAAAACTCCATTGTGTAGAGTAGCCATTTATAAAGAAATTGAGACGTCTCAGCTCTTTATCATATTTCTTTTTATACTAATTACATAAAACTTCTTTGTGATTCATTTGACACTCGTGTAAACGAATACGACGTTTGTTAAAACTACAAAAGCAAGAGGAAAATATGTATACGTTCTATGTTACTGAAGGGAGATTCCATCATTAACTATAGCCTAAAGCTAGAAAAAAATGGTTTGTATGGCTCTTCAGCGCTTCTTGGCAGTTGCTAGTTGTCACGCTTCGTCCGAAACCAACTGTTGTTGAAAATTTTTGAAAACTAGAGTCTGGATTCTTTCTTTTAAGTGGTCAAATATAATTATCCAAATGCTTGTACCTACAAAAAAATGTTCACTGTTATCGGATAAGGTTTCACGGAAAAATTTGAGTTTGACTTATGCAACCAGTTTTGGTACAAAAAGCGTTTTGGAAAAACTTTCCACAGAGTTCCGCTTAAGGAAAACATTACAGAAGAAAGCTATAGGAACAAAACTTATTTAGTATCAAATTCTTCACCGAAATAGCGAAATTTATAGCGATGAAAATTTTTTTGTGCGAAATTTATAGAGATAAAATTTTTTTGTATCGTCTATAGAGTGACGAAAGATCCAAGCTTATCTCTCGTAAAACAAAAATTTTCAAAAAATTTAAAAAATTAGACTGAAAACAGGCAGAAAGAACAAAAGAAATTTTTCTCAAAACTACATATGTGATAATCGCAAACAAAAAAAGAAAAGAAAAATTTTCATACAAATTGATGCAGAAAAATCTCCATGGTAAAATTATACAATTTTGAAAATTTTTCTTAACTTTTTGGCGCTACCCCTCGCTAAAAATAGAAGATTTTCCAGGTTATCAAGTGTGCCTGAAATAAGGTCTACCTGAAATAAGGTCTAAGTATCTGTGGTAACATTTTGTGGTCGAGCGGACCATTTTTTTTTTTCACTTAATCCTCTCCCGTCCTTTAGACTAATTTACCGATACTTCACATACTGTTCTTTTTTACTAGACCTAAAACCTAACGTATGGTACATAAAAAGTACACTTTTTCAAAAAAGTTTATTTATAGAGCTCTTACGTTGTTATCTGTACAATCCTTCTTAGCGTAATCTTTTAATGTCGAGATGACAGCCGACAACGGCGAAAAAGTGTTTTAATTCGGCTACAACTCTGTACAAGAGAAGGTGTTTGGGATGAAAGGCTCATGAGACAAAGTCAAATTAAAAGAAACTTGCACATGCACTAATTCAAAGAATATTCTGAAAAACATGCAAAAAGTTGGCATATTATTTCTAAAATGAGTGTGCTTTACTCTCTCTTTGAAGTCTTAGCATTGCGGAAGCTCCTAGCCAAAGTCAAATTTCCTAATGATGATGAAAAAAAGGTTTTTCGAAAGGTTAAAACTTACATAGTCTTACTCAGTTCGACGAGCTATTTCCAACTATGTATAAATATTGGACTGAAAATACGGACGCATTTTCAGAAAAGTTTTTTAATAGAAAGTTTATATCCGAACCCGAGTTTGCAAACCTAACACAGATTTTTGTAAAAGTCATAGAGCCAAATGATTTTCATGGTTCGATTAGCCAGATTCTCCTCTTCAAAAGTATGCGACCAGTTTTTTGAAATTTTGTTTGGTTGCTGAGAAAATTTTAATTTTGGCTTGAGAATCCTAGTCCGAATTTTTTATGATTAGCTGATTTGACTACAGTCTACAGTAGAAAAAATGTGTAGTCGCGCGTATTCCATGAAAAACGTACATGATTTTGACGCATTTGCACGGCGCACTGGGAGGCACAATAAAAATGTTCTGTATCAAGAAACATAATACAGCGTGGAATGTGCTGTGGAAATGTATCTAAATCAATTTTGAATCTTTGATATCAAACAGAAATTTGAAAAAGAACTTGATAATGGTCTCTCCTCAGCTAAACAGCATCGGAAAATTGAACTATTGCATGTATCTACCTTGACATTCCTATTTGATGCTAAGCTGTTGTGTGCGTGGAAATGTATCAGACTTTACATCGACTTCAGCACTTTGAAGTATTCCTTATATACAAGAGCCTTGGGTATTGGGACAGTTTGTAGACTTTGTAGTAGGACAGGAGGAGGGAGCGGAAGTTGATGAAAATTGAAAACTAGCTGTCAGTGTTTTCTCTACTATTCAGTCCAGAAAACAGCTGAGGCTCCGTGGTTTTCACCATTAGACAGACAAGAGATTGGGAAATCTAAATCATACATTGGTGCTAAGTTTTCATTTTGTCTTCATAGAGATATTTGAATGGGAAAAACACCAAAAATCGCGTTCTTATATAATTTTCTTGAAAAACCAGAATACTTTTGCTACAAAAGATGTCCATATTGGTGAGTCGTATTTGTAAAAATAGTGTGAAATGTTCATCTTTTGAAATGACAAAGTTATAATAAAAACAGTTTTGCTGAAAGTCTTTCGGGAACCTTATCGGGGCCACCATCGGTCATTTGGAAAAGTTTTTAAGATGATTTTTGTGATCACCGTGATGAGCTCTAATACTACTGAAAGCGCCATACGATTGGCAGAAAGCCGCTGTAAATATGGTACATTGTCCAAAGAATAATCCGCTCATCGTCATTGTTCAAAATCTCCCGTTCTGCCCGAGTTCATTGCACAAGTTTTAAGCGCTGCTCTCCTGAAAGACAATTCCATTGCTGCGAAGACATTTACGGTGTATACTTATAGGTGCAAACAAGGGCATTGTCATTACTTCGCAATCCGAAATTGAAAATATCACCTCGTGCGCTGTTTATCACTCAGTTATTGATCACCATTATATCTGTCATCATAAAATATAGCATTGTCAATTGTCTGTTGGCTTCTGTGTCACATAAATGTCAGACTCACGATTAGCCATGTTTGACCTTAAAGCACGCCAATCTTTCTAGCTAAAATAGGTTTGTTACGCTGTGTTGCTGACAAGTGAACTTTGTCTCAATGTTTGTTTCCTTTGAAGGAACTTCAAAAGGTTATGGTATTAAACCAGTGACGGATAAAATGCTTTCATTAGTTCTCATTAGCCCCGTATTACCAATTCCGTTGCGGCATTCAATCAGAAAATGTCCTCATCGCAAATGGTTAGGTTATGTACCTATTGTAACATGGTTTTCTACAGGGTGCAATCTATTGCTAGTTGCATGTTTCCCATCAGGGGTTATTATTGATGTCTATTTTTAA